CTTCCTTCCTTCCTTCCACAGGATCTCATTATGTAATCAGGCTGGTCTGGAACACACTACATAACCCAGACTGGTCTTGAACTCATAGTGATGATCCTCCTGTCTCAGCCTCCTTAGTGCTGGGATTACAGGTGTGTGCCACCACACCTGATGGAGTGTAATTAGCTTTCACATGAGCGTTTTATCTTACAAAAATACTGAGAGTCCTTGAGGGGAGGGGGCAGTGGGATTGTTGTTTAGTGGATGTAGGGTTTCAGTCTTCAGGATGGAAACATTTTTTGGAAGTCAGTGATACCTGTGGTCTCAGTTCCTTGGGAGGCTGAGGTGGGAGGACCCTTGAGCCCAGAAGTTCAAGACAACGCTGGAGACCTTGTCTCAAAAAAATTTTAAAAAGTGAATTTGTCCCCTGAGTCCTGGAGGTGAACCCAGGGCCTTCTCCGTGTTAAGGCTTGTGGTGTACCACTGAACTGCAACCCTGGCCCAAAGATGGTAAATTTTGTTATGTATATTTCATCAGCGTGAAAATTATTTATTTATTTACTTTTGGTACTGGGAGTTGAATTCGAGACCTTGTGCTTGCCAGGCAGGCATTTGTGCCACTGAGCTATAACCCCAGCCCAATTTAAAAAATATGTGTTTGGAGCCTTGACTTCTTGATGTGGGGAGCTCTTGAAGCAGGAGACCCATTTCCCGGATCTGCCACCCACGGCCTGCGGTGGGCTTCTGAGCGCATTCAGCTTCCAGGAAGCACAACTTTGCTGTGGATGTGGCTGGCGAGGCCTGGTCCTTCAGGGAGGAAGCGGAAGTCGGGCAGGAGCGGAGCTCCGCTGTCCTGTGGGGGCGGGGTGTGACCAGCATCCCGGGGTGCCACTCGCAAGATGCCAGTAGCGCTGTCCCTGCCTGTGACACCTGCCAGTGTCTCTAGACATTGCTAAGCCCCGGAGGGGTAAAATCGGCCTGTTAGAGAACCGCCCGGGGACAGAATATCCACAAACCACAAAGATCTCAGTGTCCACTTGCTCCCAGAATAAAATAGTTGAAAACTAGTTCGCTAGTATCTGAAGAATGTTTTGGGGCTGGGCGTAATGGTGCACACCTGTAATCCTAGCATTCTGGGAGGCTGAGGCAGGAGGATCAAAAATTTGAACCTAGGGCCAGGGATATAGCTCAGCAGCATGACACCTGCCTGGCAAGTGCAAGGTCCTGAGTTGGATTCCTGGTACAAAAAAAAAAAAAGAAAAAAGAAAATAGAAATTGAGCCCAGTCTGGGCAACTTAGTGGCTTTGCCAGACCCTGCCTCAAAATAAAAAATAAAAAAGTACATAAAAATAATTAAGGTGTGTTTTGTACATGTACTAACTCTCCACAATGAATGTAATTGTTTCTTACTGCAAACATGGACTAATGACAATGAAAGAAAATTAGTTATTCCTGGAAAAAAAAAATAGGTTGGGGACATAGCTCAGTGTGAAGGCCCTGAGTTGAATCCCCAGTATCAATGAAAACAGTAATTTTTTTTTTTTTTTTTTTTTTTTACTTTGTTCCAGCCACTGTGAAGTCAATTCTGGGCATAATTATGAACAAGCCCATCTTACAGTTAAGTATGTTGAGTTTAGAGGAGTTAACACCTCGCCCCAGCTCATCAAGCTGGATCCAGATTCCCGCTTTTTTTTTTTTTTCTTTCTTTCTTTCTTTCTTTCTTTCTTTCTTTCTTTCTTTCTTTCTTTCTTTCTTTCCTTTTGAGATAAGGTCTCACTATGTGGCTCAGGCTGGCCTTGAACTCATGGCAGTCCTCCTGCCTCAGCCTCCTGAGTGCTGGGATTATGGATGTGCAACCCTCCCCACTGCCCTTGTTTTTAATTATTACCTATTTATTTATTTATTCTCTTGCAGATTAACTTATATGATGATGATGTTTCAGGAGACCTTTAGCTGTAATAGTGTGTGATAAGACCAGCTTTATTTTATAATTGCCTGGGATCTGCAGAGTGTAAAGATGTTATCTGTGAGCCGCAGAGGCAGGGAATGTTATATCGTCCACTCAACAGCTCTGGCTCTGAGATGCAATCGTTGTGAGTTAGGCGATAAGGACATTGGCTTACTGTGTCTGCGGGGAGGCAGCCGAATCTGGGACTGCCACCCAGGTCCCCCTTCCCTTCCCGGTTATGCTAACGCGTGAGTGCGCTCCCGCCAGCAGAGGGCGAACGCGTGGTCCCCACGAACAGGTGGGCAGGGAGCCGCCCTTGGAGGTTTGGCGCCCAGTGCCGAGCGGGAAGGGTTCCAGAACGTGGCACCTGCCTGTTTGTCAGTACTCGGGAGGCTGAGGCAGGAGGATCACTGCCATGAATTTGCGGCCAGCTTGCGCCAAACAGTAAGTTTAAGGGCAGCCTTAATTATGTAGTGAGACTCTGTCTCCACACCCTCCTGTATGTACGCCCTCCTTCCATAGGGATAACACCTTAGCTTTGATTTCCTTGTCTTAGATTTTGTTATGAAGCAGACCCTGGTCTTGCTGTATTTATTAGAGACCTGGAGGGAGAATACTCTAGGTGTGTAGTATTCTAGGTCCCACAGGATTACGGGAGCAAAACCCTGTCTCTGCTGTGAACACCTTCAAGAGGAGTTTTCCTCTGCATCCTCTTTCTCAGTAGTTCACAGGGCAGGGGCTCAGTGCCACGGCTGGAAGTCTCTGTGTGTCCGTGTGGCAGCATGGTACACGAGCCCCCAGCATGCTGCCCGAGCGGGACGCCGAAGCCAGAAGGTGATGGCTGTGCTAACGAGGAACACCACCGAGTTTATCTCATGGAGGAGCAAATCACCCTGGGCCGCTAGCCCATCCTCCATCCAGCCTTATTTGCCGATGAACTGGCCCAAGCCATCACTGCACCACCGTCCAGGGAGCGCCAGAGCCCTGCTCCTCCAAGGTTGTTAAGTTCCCTGGAGAAACAGGCTTCTTCCCGCTGCTGACTCTGTCTGCCATCACCCTGCCCCTAGACGGGGGCCTGGCACACAGACAGCAGTCACGGCAAACCTCTCTTGCAGACTTTCCCTCTGCTTCCCGCGCTCCGCGGCACCTCAGGAGAGGGGAGTGTTTTCAAAATCGCTTCTGAATTGGAGAGGTGCACGCTGCTGAGAGCTGGAGCCTTTCTTCCCCCTTCTAACTCTTTGGTCCTCCTGGCTCCAGTTCCCTTGGAAGTATGAGGTGGTTGCTAAGCTGAGTGCAGTGGCTGTTGGGGAAAATCCCAAGCACATCACAAATGCTCCGTCTTCAGTGGAGGCAAAGGGGGTCCTTGCCCTGAGCCACGAGTTCGCTCTGGAATCAGCCTCTACCTCTTGGGTCATTGCGTGACATTGAGTCACTAGTTCTTCGCAAATGTGCAAAAGGACAAAAGTGTCAAGATTTGCATTCGCTGTGGCAATGCCCCAATTCCCTGCTGTGCCCGGGTCTTAGAGTAACAGGAACTCTAAGGAAACTGAACAGAGCTTCAAGGGCCAGGTTTCACCCCTGTGGAGCTCAAAAGGAGAGGTTTTGAAACTTCTAGGGCAGCATCCCCTGTTACACAGATAAATAGGTTGAGTGGTGGGTCCAAAAGGTGTGTCCAACTCTTGGCCCCTAAAACCTGTGAATGGGACCTTATTTTATTTTTTTTTGTCTTTTTTAGACAGGGTCTCGCTATGCAGTTCAGGTTGACCTTGAGCTCACTTTGTAGCCCAGGCTGGCCTTGAACTCACAATGATCCTCCTGCCTCAGCCTCCCAAGTGCTGGGATTACAGTTGTGCATCACCACACCTGGCTATATTGGGACCTTATTTGGGCAAAGGTCTTTGCAGATGGAATTGAGGAGCTTGAGGTGAGGCCTTCCTGGACTTAGGGGTGGCCTTAGATCTCACAGCAGGTATACTTGTAAGAGAACAAGGTGGGAAAGATTTGAGACCCAGAGACCCTGGGGGAAACAGCCAGAGCCTGGAGCAAGGCAGCCCTGAGCTAAGGAGCACCAGAAGCTGGGAGAGACAAGAAGGGTCTTCCCTTGCAGCCTTCGGAGGGACTGTGGTTTGGACAACACCCGGGTTTGGACTTCTGGCCAGCAAGATTGTTGAGGAATTGAGGAATACATTTCTGCTACTTGAAGCTGTTACCTTTGTGATTATTTGTTACAGCAGCCTCAGGAAACTCAAGCGGTGTTGACTTCCCGCTTCCTTCTACCCACTGCTTTCATGCTGAGCTTATAGCAGACAGCCCTTCCCGGGGACTGCGAGCACATGTTTGTCTTAGGGAAACAAAACAGGAAGGTAAAGCAGTGTTTGGAAGGGTCACCTGGTGAGGAGATCATCAGAATTAACCCTGGCATGAACGGGCTCTGCTTGGGTTATAAGGTTCGTCCTTGGGTATTCTGAGATTGTCACCGAACGTAACCATAGCCTTGAGCGCTATGGTTTTTCCCCGTCTCATTTCCCCCTATCTGAAGCTCATTTGAAAGTGAGTTTTCACTGCTACTATTCCTTCCCCGCACTCTGGTTAGAATCCTTTTTGTGGCATCATAAATGGTTTCCATGGAAACGAAAGGCTTGGCTAGAATGGTTGGGATGTACACATAAACTTCAGATTAAACAAAGGCTATTGTTTTTGCCCAAGTTTCATTCATTCTAAAGATGTCCCAGGGGACTTTGGGATGGCTATCAGTAGCTCCCTGGTTTCCTACCCTATTCCAGCCCACCTGGATAATGAAGCCTGCGGCTGCCTGGGAAACACCCCAGATCCTCACGATCCTTATTCTTGAGGCTTTCTCTTGCTCTTGGCACGTATGTGTAAATGTCAACAGGTGAGGTGAGATTTGCTGTAAACAAGCAGATGGTCCCCACAGGGTAGGCTAGATGGAAATTCTAGCAGGCGCTGCTACCGTCAAAGATTTTGCCAGTCTAGATCCATCATTTGTTTCGTGCATCAGAACCAGTAAACAGAAGAAGGAAATGGACCCAGGGCTGTGCGCTTGACCTCAGGACTGCAAGTGTGAGCCGCTTCCTGCCAGCACCAAGGGCACTGCTCCAAGCAAACACGTCTCCAAGGTGGGCCAGTCACCCACGGACTCGGATTTAAGCAGTTCTCTGCCTGGTTCGAAGCAACTGAGATGTGGCCTGGTGGAGCTTGGGTGGAGATTGCGGTCACCAAATCCTTACATCCTTGCACACACCTGTCATCTCAGCACTCTGGGAAGCTGAGGCAGGAGGATTGCAAGCTGAAGCCAAAAGTGGGCAACTTCCTGAGACCCTGTCTCAAAATAAAAAAGGCTGAAGATGTAGCTCAGTGTGGGAGCCCTGGGTTCAATTCCTGATAGCAAACAAACAAAATCATATATATCCCTACTCAAAACCAACAGGTAGCTAGGTTTCTAGTATTCTCTCCAAACCTGTTCTTTCTGCTGATTAAGAGCACTTCTGTTTTTCCATTTACTGAAGCCAAAGACCTCCCACTACCACCACCCATTTGCTCATCTGGCACATCAAGAAAGCTCACTGTCTCTGCCTTAAACATCCACCCAGCATCTCACCATATCTCACAGTACCCACTGTACTTCTCCCTGTATCATTGCTTCTGTTGGACATGGCAGGAATCAGCTGCCTTGACCACCCACCACCCCTTCGGGGAGTGACCTGCCGCATAGTAGACAATGTGGGTTTCCTGCGTCAGCCAGAGCACCGTCTTTACTGAGACCCACAGGTCCACCGTGACAGAAGTCCCTCTCACCCGCAGTTTTACTTTCCATGGTTTCAGTTATCCAAGTTCAATCATGATCCAAAATTTTAAACGGAAAATTCCAAAAATAACAAGCTTCAAAATGTATACTATATTGAGTAGCATGATGAAATCTTGAGCCCAGGACATGAAACATCCTTTTGTGTCATGTGTCCACACTGTATATGCTATCCTCCCATTAGTCACTTAACCTCCAAGATCAGCATTCCAGTAACTCTCACTCAGTAATCCAATTCCACCTCAATCACCTAACTTTGTCCCCTTTTGTAGGCATGAATCATCTCCTATCGTTACAAGAAGGGTGATGAGAAGGTTGAGTTAGGAGGATTGTCATGAGTTCAAGGCCTGTCTGGGCTACATAGTGAGTTCAAGGACAGCTTGAACTACACAGCAAGATCTTGTCTCAAAAAACTAAAAACCAAACCAAAACAAAACAAAACAAAACAACCTCAGAAGGATAAGAATAGTACATTAAGATATTTTGAGTGAGAGAGACCACATTCATATAACTTTCATTGTATTAATTGTTCTATTTTATTATTAGTTACTGTGATAAATCTCTTACTGCACCCAATGTATAGAAGCAACTGTATCCTTTGTGTGTAAAACACAGCACCTGTAGGGTTTGGTGCTATGCTGTTTCAGGCATCGGTTGGGGTCTTGGAACGTGTCCACGTGCATGGACAGCACCAGGGCATCTGTCTCCCACTTTCCCTCCTTGACTTTGTCTCTGGTTTCCCCTGTTGTCCCCCCGGTCCTGGCTGTGCCTCCTGATTATTAGACAGCCCAAGAAGGTCTCAGGGCCTTTGCCCTTGCTGTTGCCGCTGATGCCATGCTCTCCTCCACATCTGTAGGGCTCGATGCCCTACCCTCTTAAGACGGTTCCCATGTGGCAGCCACCTTAACACTTTCCGTCCTCCTTGGTTGCTTAGGCTTTTTCTCATTCCTGTGCATCGCTGTACAGATTTCATTTATCAGTCCTTCCATGAAAATTGTGATGTTTAAGGCAGGTGTTTAAAAAAATCTCCTTTGTCCTCTACTTTCTCTACAGCACCCAGACCAGCACCTGACATATACCTGGCACTCGGTATCTGTGAAATTAATGAAAGCATCGAAATACTCAGGGAATTACTTGGGTGTCACTGCTTTTAGGAAACGTCTGGTTGATGTGTGATGATCCCCCGCCCCTGCCCCTGCCCCCTCTTCTGCCTCTTTCACACGTTCAGTCTACTTATAGTGCTTCTATCGGCATGGGCAGCAGTTCATTTAATTCAGTGGTTCTCAATCAGGGTGATTTTGACCGTCAGGGAACATCTGGCTATACGCAGAGACATTTTTTTTTTTGGTCCTGGTTTTTTGAGACAGGATCTCACACCCACCCAAACTAGCCTTGAACTCACATGATCCCCTGGCTTCAGCCTCCTGAGGGCTGGGATTACAGATGTTTGCCCACCACGCCCAGCAATTTTGGGCTCTTACGGCAGCGGGGTGGCATGCCACTGGTACCTGGTGGGTTGAGACCAGAGATCCTGCTCAGTGCCCTGCATATAACACAAGACAGGCTGATGATATAGCTCATGGTACGGTGCCTGCCTAGCAAGCGAAAGGTCTTGAGTTGGATTGCCAATACACAAACACACAAAAAAGCACAGGATGGCCCCTCCTAACAAAGAATTACCTGCCTAGAAGGTCATCTATGCTAAGGTTGAGAAACCCTGAGTTAGCCTGATGGTATTAGGAATTATCTTGTCTGTATTTAATACGTGTGAAGTTTCTTGTGTCTCTGAAAAATTCATATGTTGAAATCCAGTTCTACCCCCAGTACCTGAGAATAGGACTGTAATTGGAGACAGAACCTTTTAAGTAATTAAACGAAAATGAGGTCATTAGAGTGGGCCCTGGGCCAAGATGCCTGGTGTCCTTATAGAGAGGGGGAGTTTGGACACAGACGCACACAGAGGGACAAGGATGCGAAGACACAGAGGAAGAGGATGTCATGTGACAGAGCGATACCAAGGCAACCACCGGGCACTGGAGGAGGCGAGGAAGGGTCCTCCGCTCCAGCCCGGGAGATCCCGGCCTGCCAAAGGATGCTGGGATTTCTAGACTCCGGACTTCAGGAAATTAATCTCTGTTGTTGCAGCCCCACTCCGCTTTTGGTGCTTTGCTGTGGCAGCCCAAGCAGAGAAGGGCAGAGCCAGTGCTAAACCCAAAGTGATACAGACGAGCTCTGCACCCTGTGATGATGAAATATGTTTCTCAGGAAAATGAGATGCTTGGCCCAGATGGCGGTTGGATCGTCTTGTGGGAGGAGAGACCAGGACATTTAGTCTTTCGGGTATCCTGAGACTCATCCTGCCCCAGAGCCAGCCGGGGCCACTTGTATAATAAACGTTTAAAGACACCGGTCGCCAGAGCCTTTCGTGGGAAGATGACCCCGGCGCGGAGTGCTTTTTCGCTAATATTAACTTTGGTCCTATTTTAGATCAATGAAGGCGAAACCCAGGAGATCCCATAAATCCCACTGAGCCTGTCCTCGCTGTCAAATTCCGCCCTGATAAAGCTGCTGGTGGCTAATGATATGGCCATCACCCAGAGCCGAACTGGGCAGGAGGGGCTCTCCAAGAGCATCTGGCCCACCGCGGAGACACTTGTCATGCTGTGTCACCTAGAGGTTCTCTCCCTCTAATAAAGGGCAGCACTTTGAATGTGATTATCTCTAAAATAATAATAAGCACAATTTAAAAATAAACAAAGCTCTGGATTTAAAGGCTGCTTACCGTCCCGGGGCCAAGATTAATGGTGAATGGCAAGTTTTTGTGAAGATCCTCTGTCGCTCCGATTAGCTGGGCTGGGAGTCCAGAGAGATAATGTCTTTTCACATATAAAAGATCCTATTGATTTCCTGTTAGTATTATCCTGAAAATGTGCGGTGTATATCTATGGAGCAGAGACAATCTTCCATCACTTGCTTTATGGGAAGAGAATGGTTATTGTATCTTTTCCCATAACATATAATCTCTTTTTCTCTTCCAAAGATCTACTCATCCCCCTGGGAATTTCCAGATGTAATCTGTGGAAGTCAATTGATTTGTAAAAAATTTTATTATTATTATTATTATTATTGCATGCGCCAGTATGTTTATATTTGGCTTCTCTACATTTTGCCATTGTCCTCTAGAGCTTGACTTTTCTAGATTGTTATTTGAACTCGTCTAAAAATAAAATTAAAAACCCCAGTCCCATCAAAACACAGGCTGACATTTACAGAATAGGGGACGCCAGGGCTCCCGACTAGACAAGGCCGGGGCAATTCTCCCGTAGTCCCCGCTGAGGTTGCACAGCGTATCCCACCAGGATGAAATGCGAAAGCCAAGCCGCTGAGTGAAGGCAGTATTTTCCTGCTGACCCGGGTTCGCAGCCTTACATCCGGGCATTTCCTCAGGATCAATTCAGACACCAGGGCAGAGTCCTGCGTATTTAAATAGCCTGCTCTGAGCCGCAGCTCACAAAGCTAATGAGTTTGGCTGGGAAGCCCCCAGCAATGCAGCCTTCTCCAGAACTTCTAGAGAGCTTTGCAAACCACGGCTCCTCCTTCTTTTTAACACAAATCCTCTGACCCGTCTCCTCTGCAACGTCCCACACTTCTGGGCCCAGCCCTCTGCAGCCGCTTCCAGACTTGTGTACTGGGGTGTCTCGCTCTTCCCCGAATTCCCGGGCACCATCCCAGGCGCTGGTTCATTACGACCACCTCGTGCTGCTGCGGACGCACTGGGCGGGCACCGTCTCATAGCACTGCAGCAGTTCCTGGTCCCCGGGATTCCGCGACCCCCGCCTTCTGGTCTGTGCTGGGAGCTGGGCAAGTGGGTTGTGCACTATTGCCAGTTGCTTAAAAAAATTATTTTGTTATATATCAAATATGGTATATATAGCCTGAATATATTATATCACTATAACGGATAACATATTAAAACATAAGTATATGCGTGTAATAAATAATACATCATAATATATGCCAGATACATATATTTACAATATACCTATAAATCTCAATGTTATGGCCACCCTCAATTCGTATGTGGAGGTCAAGTTTAAACACCGGTGTTTCACAACGTGGCTAAGTTTGGAGATACGGTCTTTTGTTTCTTTGTTCTCCTTTTATGTGATACTGGGGTTGAAGCCAGGGCCTTGCACGGTAAGCACTTGCCTTACTATTGAACTATGTCTTCAGCCGGGACGTAGGGTCTTTACAGAGGTGATTAAGTGAAATCAGGTCAGTACGATGGGTTCTAATCTGGTTGCACTGGTGTCTTTATAAAAAGAAATCGGATCGGGAGTAGTGGTATAGGTCTTCAACCCCAGGGACTCTGAAGGCAGGGACAGGAAGATTGCAAGTCTGAGGCTGGCCTGGAAAGTTTATTTTTTATTTTTTAAAATTTAAAATTTTTATTTTTAGTACCGGGAATCGAACTCATGACCTTGTGCTTGCCAAGGTCATGAGCTATCTCCCCGGCCCTGACCTTGAAGTTTAGTAAGACTCTATTTCAAAATTTTATTTTATTTTATTTTATTTACCTGAGACTGGGGATATCGATGTTTTCTAGGCTGGTCTTGAACTCACTATGTAGCTCAGAATGGTGTCAAACTCATGATGATCCTCCTGTCTCAGCCTTCTAAGTACTGGAATTATAATGGTGCACCATTATGCCTGGCATTCAAAATTCTAAAAAGAGCTGGAGATGTAACTCAGAGTATAGCCCTTGTCTAGCATGCACAAACCCTGAATTCAAATGTACATGTACACACACACACACACACATACACTAAAGGGGAACATATCCTAATAAGTCCATCGTAAGTGGAAAATACCTGAAGTTGCAAACATGTAGAACATCTAATCTATGGGACATACTTGCTTAGCAGCATGGTGCACTTAGGGTACCTGCTGTGTATGTCCCTCTCGGTCTCCTGGCTGACGGGATGCTGTGGCCTCCTGCTGCTGCCCAGAACTGGGAGAGAATAAGGTAACACACATCGCCAGGCAGGGGGAGGATCCACGTTCAAAGCATTTAAAATGTGGTTTCTACTGCATATGTATGGCATCGAGGCCATCATGAAGTTGAAAGTTGAGACCTCCCTAAGTTGGGGACCGTCTGTGCAGATGGAAGGTGCAGGTAAAAGTCTGCAAGCCAAGGAGCAGGCCTCAGGAGAAATCAACCTGCTGGCCCCTTGGTCTCGGACTTCCAGTTTCCAGGACTGAGAGAAAATACACTTGTGGTATGTAAGCCTCCTGGCCTGTGGAACTTTGTTTTGGTCAGTGTTCCAAAGCCAGCTCCATCAGTGAGTGCCGGGATCCAGGGACACAAGACATGGGCCAAATCTCTTTGCCCTTATCTTGGCCCATCCCACTTTCCTAATCTGCTGGACCCTCCGTCTGCCCAATCTGGTCAACCCCCGGGCTCCCCACCTTCCAATCTGCCCCCTGTCTCACGCCTCAGCCCTTGCTGGGTCCTCTTCCTAGATGACTTCCACCTTCTCACCCATCCATACGGATCCTACCGAAGCTTCCGAGCTATCCTGTTCACCAGGAAAGACAGGCAGCTTTACTGTGGATGATCACACAATGCGTTTCAAACTGTTCCTCAGGACAGGGACTACTGTTAGTGAGCCGCAGGGAGTGGCAGGGGGAAGGGCCAGCCCCTTTTGCCCACCACCAAGCCCACACTTAGATTTTTTTTTTTGGTACTGAGGATTAAACCCAGGGATTTTACAGTGAGCTACATCCCTTGCTCGCTCTTAACATTTTGAGACCGGATCTCACTAAGTCACTAAGTTGTCCAGGCTGAACTTGAATTTGTGATTCTTCTGCCTCAGTTTCCCAGAGTACCTACATATAGCAGTTGTTTTAAAACAGCTTCCTGGATCATCTCAATAGATGTAGAAAAAGCTTTTGACAAAGTCCATCACCCACTCATAATAAAAATCCTACAGAAAATCAGAATAGATGGTCTTTATCTCAATCTGATAAAAGCCATCTATGACAAACCAACAGCCAACATCATACCAAATGGACAAAAACTGAATGCTTTCACTTTAAAATCAGGAACAAGACAAGAGAGTCACTGTCCACAAATTTATTCAACATTGTCCTGGAAACTTTAGCCAGAGCAATTAGACAAGAGAAAGAAATAAAAGGAATAATGATAGGAAAGGAAGAAGTTAAATTATTATTATTTGCAGATGACATGATACTCTACATAGAAGACCCCAAAAACTCCACTAAAAAACTGCTAGATTTAATAAGCAAATTCAGTAGCATAGCTAGACACAAAGTCAACACTCAAAAATCAATAGCCATTCTGTACACGAATAACAAATTCACTGAGAGAGAAATTAGGGAAACAACACCATTCACAATAGCATCAAAATACCTAGGAATCAATCTAACAAAGGATGTAAAAACCCTCTTCATTGAAAACTACAGTACTCTGAAAAAGGAGATTGAAGCAGATATCAGAAAATGGAAAGATATCCCTTGCTCTTGGGCAGGAAGAACCAATATAGTGAAAATGTCCATACTTTCAAAACTGTTATACAGATTTTTTTTTTTTTTTTCCTCTGGTACCGGGAACCGAACTCACGACCTTGCGCTTGCCAGGCAGGCGCTTTTGCCGCTGAGCTAAATCCCCAGCCCCTGTTATACAGATTTAATGCAATTCTGATCAAAATTCCAATAGCATATCTCATAGAATTAAAGAAAACATTCCTAAAATCCATTTGGAACCAGAAAAGACCTAGAATAGCAAAGGCAATTCTGGGCAACAAGGGCTAGGCAGGGGGCATCACAATCTATGACTTGAAATTACACTATAAAGCTACTGTGATAAAAACAGTATGGTACTGGCAAAAACCAGACCCCAAGATCGATGGAACAGATTAGAAGATGTAGAAACAACTCCAGATATACTCAGCCAACTTTATCTTTGACAAAGGTGCCAAACACATTCACTGGGAGAATGATAGCCTCTTTAATAAATGGTGCTGGAAAAACTGGTTCTATGCATGCCAAACATTAAAACTGGACCCATATCTTTCACCATACCCTAAGCTAAATTTGAGATGGATCAAAGATCTAAATATTAAAACAGAAACATTAAATCTTCTGGAAGATAGAGTAGGTAAAACTCTTAAAGACATTGGTGTAGGCAAAGACTTTATGAATAAAATCCTGATTGTACAAGAGCTATCAGAAAGAATAAACAACTGGGGTCTCATCTTATTAAAAAGCTTTTGCACAGCAAGAGAAACCAACAACAGAGTGAAAAGACAGCTCACAATGTAGGGAAAAAGGTCTCCAGTTGTAACTCAGACAAAAGATTACTATTAAGAACATACAAAGAACTCAAAAAAATCAGAGCTTCCAAGTCAGACCTCCAAATCCACAAATGGGCATCTGAGGTGAATACACACTTCTCAGATGAGGAAATATAAACAGCAAATAAATATATGAAAAAATGTTCAGCATCACCAATTATTCAAGAAATGCAAATTAAAACACTGGGATTTCATCTCAACCAGGAAAGAATGGCTATTATCAAGAAATCAGCCAATAACAAATGCTGACAGGGCTGTGGAGAAAAAGGAGCTCTTCTCCACTGTTGGTGGGAGTGTAGACTGGTGCAACCACTATGGAAATCAGTGTGGAGATTTTTCAAAAAGCTGGGATTAGGGGTCCCATTCAACCCAGCTATTCCCCTTCTGGGTATCTTCCCAGAAGAATTAAAAACATCATACCATAGTGATATATGTGCACCCCTGTTTATAGCAATTTATAATAGCTAGGTCTTGGAATCAACCCAAATGCCCATCAACTGAAGAATGGATAAAAACAGTGTGGTCTTTTTCTACAGTGCAGTACTACTCAGTCATAAAGAAGGATAAATTGGAGACTTTTATAGGTAAATGGATGCAACTTGAGACCATACTCATAAGTGAAATAAACCAGAAGCACATGTGCAAATATCGTACTGTCTCCCTAGTGTGAGAAGCAGAAAGACTAAATAAGATCCAAAATGTACAATAGAAAACAAACAAACAAACAAACAAACTGTACAATAAATATTGTAAAATGGGAAGAAACTGTTCAAAAGGAAAGAGAAACTGGGATGGGGGAAAGGAAAAAAGAAGGAAGGGGAAAGCAAAAAAAAAAAAATATATATATATATATATACACACACATAAAAGATGGTTAAGGTAGTTATACTATGAATTTCTCTTAGTTCATTGAAAGGAAAGATTTGTGCTAATATTGTTGGGACAATTAAATGCTGATATCTTGTACTCTGAGTAACTAATTTAAAGATAACAATACACTAATTTAAAGATAACAATAACAGTAAACTAATTTAAAGATAACCATGGTATTAACCATTGTTACTTTCCTATTATCTTGTTTTGAAATTTTAAAAAATAAAAATAAAATAAAATAAAACAGCTTCCTGGGTTGGTAGGTAATGAAGCTGGAGAACTCCACCGAAGTTTTACTCTGGATGTGGTGAAAGCAAAAGATTCCAAAAAGTCACACAAAGCTAATGGTCCTTGCTCAGGAAGCACTTAAGCAAACAAAGGCCAACACGCTTTTTGTCCAGATTTCCTAGAATTGTACTCTTTGCAAGGGATAAACTCAATTATCAAAACTCATTGACTCTGAAAATGTAACTTCCATATACTACTGCCCATTCCAATTCATCAGACAGGCAGCCGTTACGCTGTTAATGTGATCACTGCTCGCCGGGATATTAATCTGTTTTCCAAGTACGAAAGAGGACAGTCTGGATTCTCTGGTGCAGGTGTGCGCGTTTGCCCGGTCACAGCTGGCCAGGGGTTTGTTGCTTGATGACTTGATGAGCAAATCAATCGCTGTTCCCTTCAGCTGACCTTAGGGCCATCTTCGCAGGCTTGCTTTTTCTCTATTGTAATATAAAAATTAGATTTCAGTCTTTATGATTTATGCAGTGCTATTTCTTTCAGAAGTTAATGCCACGCTGTGCGTGTTAGCAAGGCCCCAGTGAGGCAAGGAGGGGGTGGTCTGTAAGTGTGTCTGGTTGTTGAGTATGCAGGCCAGCGTAGGAAGGGGACAAGCTGGCTACCCGGTCCTGTCCATCCACACCCAGGGCTGCAGGCTCCCCTGCAGATCACATGATGTTTCAAGAGCACGCATGTCACTGGGCCAGAGGCTCCATACCAAGCCGTCACATCTCAAGTCTTGCTGGAGCCTTGTGCATGGACTTGTGTCTTAGTCATTTTCTTACTGCTGGGACAAGATACCCGGCACCTCGCACTTCAAGGAGGAGAGGGTTATCTGGGCTCATGGGTTTTAGAGGGTTCGGTCCATGGTCAGCTGGCTCTGAGGCAGGAAGGGCGTGGTGGAAGGGTCTGGTGGAGGAAGCTGCTCATGTCACGGAGGTTAGGGAGCAGAGTGCAAGGGGAGGGGCCAGGGAGGCAGATACAGCTTCCAAGTCATGGCCCCAGTGACCTACCTCTTTTGGCCAAGCACACTTAACTCTAGGCAATCCTCTGTAGGGACTGGTCACGGTCCTGCGACTTGGTTGTTAAATACATTGGTCACTGAATGAGGAATTGTAC